CTAGTAATCATTTTAATAAATGTGCTTTTGTTTTACAAATTGAATCCAAGTATTACAAAGAAGTCGAGTTTGACGAATTCTAGATTTTAGCTATATAAGAAGAACTACATCAATTTAAAAGAAATCATGTTTAGAAGTTAATTGCTAGACCAAGTCATCAAACAGTCATGGTACAAAATGAGTTTTTAGAAATAAACGAGATAAAAATGGGATAATTGTATATAACAATGCTAGATTAGTGGCTCAAGGTTACAATCAAGAAGAATGCATCGATTTTGAAGAAATATTTGCACCGGTTACTAGATTAGAATCAATTCGCCTACTTCTTGCTTTTGCTTGTCATAAATGATTTAAGTGCATTTCGAAATGTTTTTATTCAAAAAGAAATATTTGTAGTGCAATCCTAGATTTTAAAATTCACAAGGATCCGAATAATGTTTTCAAAATAAGAAAAGCTGTTTATGGTTTAAAGTAAGCTCCTAGAGCATGTCATTAAAGATTGAGCAAATTTCTTCTTTCAAATGACTTTTTAATAGGAAAAGTGGATACTATACTTTTTATCAAAACCAAAAATGATGACATAGTTATTGTGCAAATTTATGTTGATGATATTATTTTTTGTGCCACTAACATTTCTCTTTGTGAATAATTTTCTAATTGTATGATCATGATGGAGGAACTCAAGTTTTTCGTTGGACTCCAAATCAAACAAACTAATGATGGAATGTTCATTAGTCAAACTAAGTATATCATGGACGTGCTCAAAAAGTTTGAAATGGAAGGGTAGAAACCAATGAATACTCCAATGAATTCATCAGTTAAGTTAGACAAAGACGATCAAAGTACATCCGTAGACATAACAAAATATCGAGTTATGATCAAATCTCTTCTTTAATTAACTGTTAGTAGACCTGATATTGTGTTTAGTATGTGCTTATAGATTTCAATTTAATCCTAAAGAATCACACCTTAATGCCGTAAAACGAATCTTTAGATATCTTGGTGGTACTAAGACATTAAGTCTTTAATACTAAGGGCACTCATATTGATTTACTTGGTTATTCGGATACCAATTGAGCTTGTTGAGTGATTGATCGTGAGAGCACTAGTGGAATTTGTCACTTAATAAACAGAATTTCGTTGCTTTGTCTATCGTCGAAGTCGAATATATTTCGGTCGCCAATTGTTGTGCAAAAGTTTTATGAATGAACAAATACTACGTGATTGTCATTTATTTTTCGATCATATACTCATCATATGTGATAACACTAATGCCATAAACTTGTCAAAACAATTCCATTTTGCATTCTTGAACCAAGTTTATTGAGATTGGACACCACTTTCTAAGAAATCATGCACAAAAGAGAGATATTGCGCTAGAATTTGTTAATACGGAAAAACAATTATCCGAAATTCGCACTAAACCTCTAGCATTTGATAGATTTTCAAATATTCGAAAAGGTTTGAGAATTATTTATAAATTTGAAGTATTTGGCTAAATTATACTCTTACATGATTGTTTCTATGTACATCATTAGTTGAAATTAATATAAACTTTACCTATTTCATTATACTTTTAACATTTCATCACTCATGCTTTGATTAGTATTTTGCTACAAATGAAACGATTATCATGTTGTTTAAACTTGCATACAGTGATTAATCTCTAACATTCGGTAGTGAAATTGATATTTTGACTTGAGGTCATCATAGTGTCTTGTACGAGGGCAGTCATGCTTTGGTGATGATGGATGTTGCTTTGCCAAGAGTCGCTAATACAACATCGTTCTGATATGTCAAGAATCATATGAATATTGTGAATGATCAATAGAGAATTCATCATTATTACATAGTAAGATATTATGGTCTACATTTCATTCAATTAAGTTGATAAAAAAATTCTTGGTCAATATGTAATAGTGGGATGAAAGATATGAACAACAATCAAGATTAACACACTTCATATCTCGTAATTGATCGGATCATATTGATAATTGATTATATTTTCACTGTAATCGAACAAGTTTTACTCGTCATACCACGTGACATTTCTCGTTACATGTGTTGCCCGACACATTGCTAGATGTTAATTTGAGACAACGAATATGAATTAATTAATTTAGATGAATTAATGATAAATTAAAAAGTGTTTTTAATTTATCTTATTTTGATTAGACCAAAATAATAATTCACATAGTTAGACATCATAATCGAAAATCTAATGGGTTTTACACAAAAGGAAAACTTGAAGAATGAAATATATTAATTAATTAATTGACAAGAGTTGGAAAATTAATTAATTGTGTTACTTATTAATGAGTCGAATTAATTAATCAGATTAATTAATTAATGGACAGTGGTTAATTAATTAGATTAATTAAATATTGGATCGGGTTGAGTTGAGTTGAACTATTGGGCCAAGCCAATTGAACTTTTATGGGAAAAATTCATAAATAAGGTGTATACTTTAGACCAATTCAAAATTCAGGTTTATAGTTTGAAAATTCAAAAATCAAGTTTTTATTTTTATTTTTTATTTATGAAATAATAAATTATTAAATCAATTTATTATTAAATATATAATATAATTAACTCATCCCACATGCACCACATACCGCTCCGGGGACTATTCTGACAACTATTCCGATCACCACTCTTCTCCGGCGACTGCTTCGGCTATTGCTTCGATTTCGACAATTATTTCGGCGACTATTCCGATGACCATTCTGGTCACAGGTTTACAATTTACAGTCACAGTTCAAAAATTTTATAAGACAATTAATTCGTTAGTCACAAATTTCAAAATTAGGTGGTCACAGATCAAAATTTATAGGTCACACAGTCACAGATTTCCAAATTAATTGGTCACAGATTTTTTACGGTCACAGATAAAAAAATCGTTGGTCACGGATTATATTTTTAGTCACAAATTATAGAATTTTAAGGTCAAATTATATTTTCAGTCACAAAAAACCAAAATCACCAGATCCTCCACCACTGCCACTACATCCACTTGCAACCACCCTAATCTGCCACTACCGTCACAACATTACAACACTACCAACAACAAAGCCATTGCCAACAAATTACCACACCACCACCGCACACACTAAAACACCACCCAAACCACCACAGATTAGCCTAAACCACCAACAAACAGATCCACCAACACAGCCACACACCAACGACAGATGGGCCCAACACCCACAGACCATTCAACACTACCAACAACAAAGTCACTGCCAACAAACCACCACTGCCATCACCACCGCACCCACTACAATACCACCCAAACCACCACAGATCAGCCCAAACCACCAACAAACAAATCTGCCAACACAGCCACACACCAACGACAGATGTGCCCAACACCCACATACCATCCACCAACACAGCCGACCCACGACCCACAACCATCCACCAACATAGCCGACCTACACACAGCCGACCCAGACACCAGCAGCGTCAGGCACTACTGCCAGCATCGCGACGCTGCTGTGAACAATAGCAGCGCCTCGACGCTGCTAGGGAGAGGGAGGGGGAGAAGGGAGGAGAAGTAGGTGGAGGCGGCGGGTGGCGGGGAGAGTGGAGAGAAATAGTGAGAGAGTTGAGATAAATTAATTATTTTAGGGTTTGGATAGATTTATGTTTGATATATAAAATAAAATACCTAATTTTTTAATAATTAAACTTTCAACCAAATTTTTGAATTGGTGTAAATTATACACCTGATTTTTAGTAATTTCCCAACTTTTATTAATAAGTTATTAGGCTTTGAGAAATTATATAACACAATTATTATCTTGTTAACACACACAAAAAAAAAAAAACCATAATTTTCTCATTATTGTTTCCTGTGTAGATTTTCATTGGAGACTTGACAATTGAATAGTTATGAATTACAGATCTTGATTGTTCATGTTCGAGATAAGTAAAGAAGTTTGCAAAATTCAACAAAGATATAATTCATATCATAGTTTCTTTCTAAACATCAAGAAAATCCTTGGTGAGAATTGAAATATTATTTATTTTTCACTGTACATGAATAAGTAAATTTCCCACATTTACGACGCACGCAGCTTAGTAATGGGGTTGGAGTTAGAAAATTATTCTGTTGCGGGCAGTATTTAGTATGTGTGTGTGTGTGTATGTATGTATGTATGTATGTATGTATGTATGTATGTATACACACCTTGCAGCCACCAACATGTGCGTACATATAATATATTTCAGCAGCCGTCGATTCCTTAGTTTTTTTTTTCTATATATATAGATATATATATATATATATAACACAACAATGCTGCCACACTCATGGCACTTGAGGCCCATGTGTATCAATATCAGAATCCGACATATTATGTTCTCGAAGGATTAGTTCCATGAAAAACCACTCCAACATCAATGTTCATGAATTAAGATTCATTACTTTCGAAATCAATTCTTTCATTGTCGATCCATTTGCTGAAGTACCAGAATAATTACCATGTGAGAGTGATCGTCTCAAAGCAAACACCATACCAAAACACCAATGTGCACCCTGTCAAATATAGGGTGTGTTGTCACTATCTCATACAATCATGCTACGTCATGTAGTTTAAACTGTAGTAAACTCTTGGTAGATTTTTGAACGTTGATTTTACCACACTTTTTCCAATCAATGTCCAAATTTCCTACACACAGGAAATGTCAACCTTGATATCAACAATGAATGTACAAGAAGCATAATCCTGGGAAATATGCCATAAACATTATACAAAAACTAAATGAACTCGTTTTATTTACATTACAACGACGAACAAATATTACACCGGAAAGGGCGAAAATTGAGCTTCTGTTCAACAATTGTCATTACAAAAAATGGTTACATAACTTACAACTTTCTTGCTCCACTGCTACAACCAAATACAATAAATACGAATATATTAATTAAAAAAAAAAAGAGTTATAAGCTCATTTTCCTCGGTTAGTAGCATAGTATATAAAGATCATCAACCACATCACAGACCAAGGAATGCACATTGTTTTTTTGCATGCTCTGGAATCAACTTCCCCAGCAACTCCACTGACACACCCTTGAGTTCTGATGAACAAATATCGAAAGGAAATCACCACAATGTACATTTAAAAGAAAGGGTAGCATAAGAAACATGTTCAAGGAGTGTGTTCTACCATATGGCTTAAAGTTGAACAATGGAGGAAGAAAACGTCCATTTGGCAGGCGTGTATTTGGATCACGTAGCTCCTCAAAGAAGGGGTGGATCAAAGCATCCAACTGCATGAAAAAATCCTCTAACTGCATTAAGCAACCAATAAACGAGAATCATGAGAATGAACTTTACGTAGTAGACAACTTCAATACTACAATGTGAAGGTAGATCGACGAAAATGGTTTTTTATACTCACAGCAGAGCTTCGTAGATTTGGAGAATACTGCAGAAGCCTTGACACAAGATCCACAGCTTCTGGGGGCGTGCGCTTGTGAAATATCTGAAGATGAAAATAAAGTCAAATTACCAGTTCAAAGAATGACCAGTTGAAAAGGGGCTCATGCAGCTATATCCATTTTACCTTGTGCCATGGGTGTGCTTTAATTTGTGGGAATTTGAACTCCGTGTAATTGGGGTTCATACATTTTATCTCTTCCCTTGTTGGGCTGCCCAAAACCTATATGCAAAAGGAAAAAAAAAATAAAAAAA